CCCCATCTCTCGGGTCGCTTCTCTTTTTTATATCTCAAAAGAGATTGACTCAAGATACCACCTAATCTTGTAGATTGAGTCCTGCCTCATTAACATAACTGCCTCTAATCCTGCCTCATTAACATCAGAGAGGTAGGATTTACAACACATAGGAAAATCATATCAGATGACAAAATGGTGGATAATCACACAATACTGGGAATCACGGACTAGAGAAGTTGACACATATTTTGGGGGGACACAAGTCAATCCATCACAGTAGGGAAGGGTAAAGACAGTCTTTGAAGGATGTTACCAAGAAATAAAAAAACAAAGGAGGCTCTGCTCTTTGTTCCTTAGAGGACTCTGTCAGGGAGAGGCTGCTAGAGGTTACAGTAAGTGTGCCTCATTTTATGCAACAGACATGTTTTTAAAAATACAAAACAATAGTCAAAATTTATTATCTACTATGTGTCAGGCACTGGGCTAGATGCTTTAATCCTCATATGTACTCTTTAGAGTGGGCATTATTTCCATTTTGCAGATGAGGAAACCAGGGCTTCTAACTGGTTCAGTCTGGTTCAAATCTCTATTGAAAATTTGCATTTTTAACAAGTCCCAGGAAGTTGTACATAAGAATCACCAGAGGATCTTGTTAAAATGTAGATTCTTCTTTCAATTTTTTACTGTGCATTAGGTAAAAAGTTTACACAGCAAATTTGTTTCCCATTCAATAGTTTGTACATAAAGTGTTCTATGACATTGATTTCATTCCCCACAATGTGTCAGCACTCTCTCCCCATTTCTGTTTCAGGGTCCCCATTTCTTTTTGCCCTGATTTTCTACCCCTTCCTGCATTTTCATCTTTGCTTTTGGGCAAATGTTGCCCTTTTGATCTTGTATAATTGATTGTTCTAAGGAGCACATTATTGTTTATTTTATGGGCCTGTCTATGGTTTGGCTGAAAGGTGGTCTCTAGGAATGGCTTCAGCTCCAGTTCAGAAGAGTGTCTTAGTGCCATAGTCTCAGGGGTTCCTTTAGTCTCTGTCAGACCAGTAAGTCTGGTCTTTTTTGTGAGTTTGATTTTTCATTCTACTGTTTTTCTCCAGCTCTGTCTGGGACCCTCTCTTGTGATGGTTGGTTGTGGTAGCCAGGCACCATCTAGTTCTTCTGGTCTCAGGGTTGCATAAGCTGTGGTTCATGTGATCCATTAGTCCTTTGGACTAATTGCTCTTTTGAGTCTTTGGTTTTCTTCACTCTCCTTTGCTCCAGTTGGTAAGAGACCAATACTTGTTTCTTAGATACAACTCGTAAGCTTTTAAGACCCCAGATGCTACTCATCAAAATAGGATACAGAACTTTGTCTTTATGAACTATATTGTGCCAACTGATGTAGATGTCCTCCAAGTCTATTGTCCTTTACCTTCAAGCCTAGGAACTTCATCCCCATGAGGTGTTTAGTTATGTCTAAGAAGTTGCTCTGATTGTGGCCCTTGTGTGCTCTGTTGTCTATATTAATATATAAGCAGCACCTACAGTTATATATGTAGAAATATCCACCACCAAACCTGTATCTGCAGGTAGGTGTGTTCCCTTACTCCTTCCCACACCTCTTGGCATTCCTATCTACCTATGTATCCATTCATAAGTTAGTGTTTGTTAATACTATTGTTGCAGGATTGTCTACACTATAGTAATTAACGCTGTTGCCCTTTGTTCTTGCATTCCTCTCAGTGTCCTCCCTTGCCTTGGTCATGTTTTGCTGACTTCCCCCATATTGTGTATTGTCCTTCACTTCACCAATACAATATTTGTCCTTCTGTGCTTGACTCATTTCACTCAGCATAATGTCCTCCAAATTCATCCACATTGTGAGATGTTTCTCGGATTTGTCATTCGTCATTATCCTTTATCATTTCGTAGTATTCCATTGTGTGTATGTACCAGAATTTGTTAATTCATTCATCTGTCGATGGGCATTTAGGTTGTTTCCATCTTTTTGCTACTGTGAATAATGCTGCAATGAACATGGGTGTGCATGTCTATTCATGTTACGCTCTTATTTCTTTAGGGTATATACCTAGGATTGGCATTGCTGGATTGTATGGTATTTCTATTTCTAGCTTTTTAAGGAAGCACCATACTGTTTTCCAAAGTCATCATAAGAATTTACATTCCCACCAGCAGTGTATAAGACTTCCAATCTCCCTGCAACCTCTCCGACATTTTTTTTTTTTTTAATTAGCGACAGTAAAGGAGAGATGGTATCTCATTGTAGTTTTGATTTGCATCAGTCTGATGGCTAATGATTGTGAGCATTTCTTGGTGCGTTTGTTAGCTGCCTGAATGTCTTCTTTGGGAAGTGTCTGTTCATATCCTTTACCCATTTTTTAATTGGATTGTTTATCTTTTTATTGTTGAGGTGTTGAAGTTTTCTATAAATTTTAGAGATTAGACCCTCGTCAGGCATGCCACAGCCAATTTTTTTTCTCCCAGTCTGTAGGTTCTCTTTTGGAGAAGTCTTTTGATGAGTGTAAGTGTTTTATTTTTAGGAACTCCCATTTGTCTAGTTCCTCTTCTGCTGTTTGTGCATTTTTAGTTATGTTTGATATTCTATTTATGCCATATATTATGGCCTGTAGCCTTGTCCCTATTTTTTCTTCCATGATCCTTATAGTTTTAGCATTTATTTTTAGGTCTTTGATCCATTTTGAATTAGTTATTGTGTATGGTGTGAGGTATGGGTCCTGTTTCATTTTTTTACAACTGGACATCCAGTTTTGCCAGCACAATTTATTAAAGACACTATCTTTTCCCCCATTTAATGGACTTTGGCCCTTTGTCAAAGATCAGCTGAGCACAGGTGGACGGATTTATGTCTGGGCTCTCAATTCTGTTCCATTGGTCTATGTGTTTGTCATACGAGTAGCAGGCTGTTTTGACTGCCATAGCAGGTTCTGAATAGACTATAGTAGGTTCTGACATCAGGTACTGTGAGGCCTCCTACTTTGTTCTTCAACAATGCTTTACTTATCTGGGGCCTTTTTCCTTTCATATAAAGTTGGTGATTAATTTTTCTATCTATTAAAGAATGCTTTGGAATTTGGATCAGGATTGCATTATGTCTGTAGATCACTTTGGGTAATATTGACATTTTCACAATGTTGAGCCTTCCTATCCATGAGCATGGGATGTTTTTCCACTTATATGGGTCTCTTCTGGTTTCTTGCAGTAGTGTTTTACAGTTTTCTTTGTATAGGTCTTTTATGTCCCTGGTTAGATTTCTTCCTAAGTATTTTATCTTTTGGGAGCTATTGCAAATGGTATTATTTTCCTGATTTCCTTTTTCAAGTTCTCTTTGTTCGTGTAGAGGAATCCAACTGATTTTTGCACGTTGATCTTGTATCCTGCTGCTTTGCTGAATCCTTCTATTAGTTCCAGAAGCTTTCTTTTGGAATCTTTGGGGTTTTCTATGTATAGGATCATACCATCTGCAAATTGGGATAGTTTTACTTTTTCTTTACCAACTAGAATGCCCTTTCTTTTTCTTGCCTTATTGCTCTAGCTAGGACTTCCCGCACAATATTGAATAAGAGTGGTGATAAAGACATCCTTGCCTGGTTCCTGTTCTGAAGGGGAATGCTTTCAGTCTCTCTCTGTTGAGAATAATGTTGGCTGTTGGTTTTGTATGGATGCCCTTTATTATGTTGTGCAATTTCCCTTCTATTCTTATTTTGCTGAAAGTTTTTATCAGGAATGGATGTTAGACTTTATCAAATGCCTTTTCTGCATTGATTAAGATAATCATGTGATACTTTTATTTATGTGGTAGATTACATTGATTGATTTTCTATTGTTGAACCATGTTTGCATACCTGTATGAATCCCACTTGATCGTGAGTTTTTTGTTTGTTTTTTGATACGCTGTTGAATTCTATTGGCCAGAATTTTGTAGAGAATTTTTGTGTCTGTATTCATGAAGGATATTGGTTTGTAATTTTCTTTTTTTGTGGTGTCTTTGCCTCATTTTGGTATCACGCTTTTGCTGGCTTCATAGAAGGAATTCGGGAGTATTGCTCAAACTCTGAAATAGTTAGAATAGTATTGGTGTGAGATAATATAGATTCTGATTCAGTATATTTGGGGTAAAACCCATTGCCCTGGAGTCGATTCCGAGTCATAGTGACCCCATAGGACAGAAAAGAACTGCCCTATAGAGTTTCCAGGGAGTGCCTAGTGGATTCGAACTGCTGACCTTTTGGTTAGCAGCTTAACTCTTAACCACTGTGCCACCAGGGTTTCTATATTTGGGGTAGAAATGCAAATACTCAGCAGGGGTTCAACCCGACAACTGGTTCCATGCCCTGGAGGAAACAGGCTCAGCAGTGAGGTTAAATAGCATATGAGCAGTGAGGTTAAATAGCGTATCAGCTCAGTTTTCTCTGTTAAATGCTGGAACCCTGAATGTATGCGGTTTGTCTGACCCTGAAGCCCAAGCATTTGTGTGCCACACACATTTTTGTAAATTGAATACTTAAGATACATTATAGATGATGATTATTTGAAAAAGTCTTACAGTCATTTCCTTTGTAAGGCACATTACCTACAAACATTTTTATTGCAGGGATCTGGGGTAACGAGAAAGAATTTTCTTTACTGAGTGCATGATTGTAGTTTATTTCATTACTCATACATCATTTTGCCCCTATTGGCCACCAGATAATGACACCGAAAATATTCTTAATCCGAATTTTTTAGTTACCTCGTCTAATAAACGAAGTAATCAAAGCAATGTCATGGCCAATCCAATCTACCCGGGGAATTAGTAAAGTTTCCGCCAAACGCACAAGCTGTGGAGAACTGGAAAAGTGTTAACTTTTGTACAAACTAAAAGAAGGACTCTCCGAGGGAGAGGAGAGGAAACACGCATCGAGGCAGGGTACGCCGATTCGCTCACTGGTCCCGGCCGCTAGCTCCGGGGTGTGGCATGGGCGCCAGCGACGCGCCTGGGTCTGCGCATGCGCGCGGGGTCGCGGCGGCCACTGGGACACAACCGCCTCCTCCGCTCTGAGTTCCTCCACGGTTACCCAGCTCTCTGCCCCTTCTTTCTCCGGTGCTCCAGGGACCATGGCCGATCCTCGCGTGAGGCAGATCAAGATCAAAACCGGCGTAGTGAAGCGGTAAGGAGCCGCAAGCAGCACAGCCGCCATCGCCTCCTCTCCCTCGCCTCTTGGCGGCCTGAGAAGCTAGGCGGAGCGCAGGCCCGAGGCGGGCCAAGGACGCCGGGCCTCACCTGGGGCTCTGCCGCCGGCCGGGACGCAGCAGGGTGGGAGCCGGGCGCGACGACGGCCGGAGCCCGCGGGCCAGGGCACGCCCCTTCCCCTCTCTGTCTCTCTCTCTCTCTGGGAGAACGGAACGGAATAGCGGCGAGGGTTGGCGGCAGCCCCGCCCCGCGGGCGCCCGCAGTGGGGGAGGTGGAGGGGCGGCGGCCTGCGATCCGGAGGAGACCCGGGACCGGCAGGGTGGGCCGGGCCCTAGGCCTGTACCTCGGGTGTGCGCGCGCCCGGGGTCTCCTTGTTGAACGTATTGGGGACAGGAGGGGTACAATCCATTACCTGCTCTCAGGTGGACGCGAAAGCAGGTTCTAAAGTTTGAGGGGAACGCAGAGAGCCCTACCCTCATTAAAAAAGAGACTGTGGTGGAGCTCTGTGATCTAACATGGCTGGCGTGACTCTCAGCCTTCCAGAACTGGGGTGTGAACTCGCAGCATGCTCATCAAACTTCTGTGGCCTAACTCCCTAAACTTCCCCGAAGCTTGCCGCAGAGGCTGTGGATACTGCCTAAATAACTATCATGGGTAGAGCAGCCTTGTAATTTACTCTAATTCCTGACTGCTTAGACATATTAGTGCTCATTAGAACTTTATTGTTCAGTTCCAAAACGATCAAACTACTTTTGATGAAGCATTCCAAGAAAAGATAATCATCCTTCTGAAGAAGCAGGTTATTTCGGAGTAGAAATCTATAATCCTAGCCTACTGGCTTCCTGTTTGCCCACCCTTCTTCCCTTTATTGGTACTCTCACCAGAGGAATGACAAGGCAAAGAGAAGAATAAATTCACTTTTTAAGATAATTGTTTCCCTGTCGTAGCACAGCATCACCCTGTATTTCCTGGAAGCTTCCCTTGTTACTAGGCAGTAAGGAGATAGTATGGAAATAGTGGAGTTCCTGGGAGGTGCAAATGGTTAAGCACTTAGCCCAAAAGTTGGCGGTTAGAGAACCCACCCAGACGTACCTTGGGAGACAGGCCTGGCTGTCTACTTCCGAAAGGACATAGCCTGAAAACCCGATGGAACACAGTTCTAGGATAACAAACATAGGGTCTGCCATGAGTTGGAACTGACTCATCGGCAACTAACAACAACGAGGTAGTATTGAGTAGTAATTTCTCTGAAGTGACGCTGCTTGGGTTCAAATCTTGATTCTGCCATTTATTAGCTATGTGTTCTTGAATATATTCCTTTGTGCTGTTTGTAAAATGGAGTAAGAACCTATTTAATGCAGTCGTAGCAAGAAACACCTACTGTTTAACACAGGATGTGACAAATAGCGAGTGCCCAGTAAATGTTAGCTAATTATTTGTTTTTATCCCCATTTTACAAATGAGGAAACTGAGGCTTAATGAAGTAAAAAAAGAAACAAAAACAAAAAACTTGTCTGAGGTTAGCTAGCAGAGCAAGGAAAGAACCTAGGTTTCTGATCTCCAACTTTCTACGTTAAGTTACAGTGTTCTAGTAAAATTTTTAAAATGTGATAATCAGAGAGGAATTGAGAAGTGTAATGGAAAATGTAAATAATCCACACTTACTCCGGAAACCCTGGTGGTATAGTGGTTAAGTGCTGTGGCTGCTAACCAGAAGGTTGACAGCTCAAATCCACGAGGCCCCCCTTGGAAACTCTATGGGGTAGTTCTGCTCTGTCCTATAGGGTGGCTGTGAGTTGGAATCACGCAATGGCAATGAGTTCGTTTTTTTTTTTTTTTTAATCACTTACCCCAGAGTTCTGTTGTTCACTTGCTAGGATTACTTTGATTCTGTCGTTTTTAGTAAGTGTATTTGGCAGAAGTACCAGGGTGTGAAGGAGAATGCTTGATAGTTTCCCATTAATTACTTACATGACCTTGACATTTCTCAGTCAAAGGATCATAGTAGTTTATAAAATTATTCAGTTTAAGTAGTTGTGTGCTTACAATACATATGCTACAGAAAACATACTTATTTAGGTAATTATAAACTAAATTTTTATACTTCCAAAAATTCTCAAGTATTTATGTAAACTCATTGGAAATGAAGTTTTGTCTTCAGTTTATTTTTAATAATAGAGCATTGTAAAACTTTAAAGAAAAACATTTTTCATACTTCTGTACATTTATCATTTTTCTGAAACCCTTTCATAATTTACTGGACTATATCAAACTGCTTATAAATTAATGGAAATATCTACTATTTTTTTCCCATGGTTTTCCTGTTGACATCTTGGTGTAGACCAAAAAAAAATAAACAAACCTGCTGATGTCGAGTTGATTCCGACTCATAGCGACCCTATAGCTCTATAGCTTCCCCTTATTTACTAAAATGAGATGTGTGTGTTTTTCTGCTTTGTTTTTTTTTTAAAAACTAAAATTCCTGCTTTAGCTGTTTATTACTCATATTTTACCTTGATATATAACAATCTAAGTCCATAAAGATTGTTTCTTACTTTCTCTTCTGTAATTTTCTCCTGAAAATTATTTTAGTATGGCTCTTTCCATCTTCTGCCTTAGTATCCTATTTTTAAAAAGAAAAAAAATAGATGAGGCAGATATGATAGCATATTCATAATTGTTGGGTCTGGGCTTCATTATATTCTTCTCTATATTCATGTTTAAAATTTTTCATAATAAAAAGGTTTTAAAAGATACACGTTTTTCTCCTTTCTCCAAATTTAGTTTCAAAGACTTCTTGACTAGTTTCATGATTCAGACTTGTTCTTGGTTTTGTGAAAGGGATTCTGTTCATTGGTTTCTTAAAGCAATGGTCTAAAAACCAGCTTCTGTTCAAGCACCTTCTTTCTAGTCAGGTGTTCATTTCCCATAGCCTCATTCCTCTTCAGAAGTCATGGCCTTTTTTTGGAAGAAGGTATTTAAAGTCATCATTCATGTACCCATATCCTTTAGTTTTCTCTCCAGTAATTGAGAGCCACTAGAAATATATTCTAGGTTTCTGTCCTAAGGTTCATTTGGGTAAGCTATGCTAGGGAGAGTGGATTCTTAGAGTTTAATATCTAATCAGATCTGCTGGCACATTTCAAGGGATCCAAAAGTTCCCTGTGGTGAGTCTTAGGAAGGAATCTGGACAGGCAGGTGGAATGTTAGGGGACTATGGAAACAGGCAATAAATAGATGGTGGTATTTGGCATCAAGGAGCTCAATCAGTGATGAAAGATGGCTGTTTTAGCAGGTTGGCAAAACAGTGATGACAATCTAGTGGATAGCAGCCCACATTAGAAAGGATAGTTGGCAGTCCACATTAGAAAGGAAACTAAAGTTTCAAGGGCAGTATTTTAGGCTACTGGAAAATAGACAAAAGCCTCACGGTGCTCTAGTCCTAGAAACTTTGTTATCCCACAGGGTAACAAAGCAAAGGATCTGATTTCTGGAAATGGTTTCAAGAGAGCTGTTAGATCACTAGGAACAAGGCAAGAGTCCAGTTACTAGAACTGGCTTGTAAGGTGAGAGTCTGACAGCAATGAGGCCGACTTGATGTTGGGCCTCTTACCTAGGGCTCCTTAAATATCCCCTTCCCAGCAACAGGATTATTTTTTACGAAGACTAATTCTGGCTGTAAAACTAGAGAGGTGTGGGCAGTAAGGGCTGGATGGGCTATTATACTAGGTTTCTTCAAGCCTTTGTTCACGTGTGACTTATTGGAAGTGTTACTAGTTGGTAAGTTTGGCCCTGCCAGGCCCTTTTTAAAGATTTGGATCCATGTTCCAGGCAGATTATAGACCTGCTGATACCCATCTCAGGGTCACATCTAATCTGGCAGCCGTAGCAGGGAGTTACCAAATGTTCCTTCCATTGTCTTTTTTCCCCAGCACAGACTGTGAAATCCCTATTTTTTGGTGTCTAGTTGGCATTAATGGTCTTAGTTTGCGTGGGACTGAGGGGTTTCCTTGAAACAGAATCTTCAGTGCTAAAACAGGGAAAAGTCTCAGGCAGACCAAGATAATTGATCACCTCTTCTGTAACTAGCTCACATAGCCCTGTTTTGTGTGTGCCATGCTTTATTGGAGGTTATTTGCTGATGGTACAACTGTGAGTTGAACATTGTACTTTACTTAAGTTAAAATTTAAATGCCTGCTGAAAATATGAATAATTGCCAGAGTAGCTTTTTTCCTGTATTATTTTAAATTGTTCATGATTTAGAAAATAATTTTTGTAATTAGAAAATAATTTTTCTTTCAGAAAAAAGTTGTAGGATTGGTATTTCCTAAATGTTGATGTGGTATTTCAGCAGAATGACTTATGTCCACCGTAAGTTTCCGAGTAAGGTTTATTAAAAACAAGTTTTTAAGTAGATATGTGGTAAATTCAAGGAATTCTTGTATCATTCATGTACCCATATCCTTTGGTTTTGAAAGGTATGTTGCAAGAAAAATGCTTTCATCCTTTTAACATAAAAGGTTACTTTATAACTTTAAACACAACTTACTTTCAATAAAGCCTACTAAACCCCCTGGTGACTGAATTGATTGATTAAAAATAATTTCTTAAATATATCTTCTTGTAACCATTTTAGATTGGTAATGGCTTAAAATCTAGTGTGGGTTCGGTTCTCCAGAAACATGCTGAGATGGAGTTAGGAGGGCGAGAGATTTCTTGGAAGGTGAACCAGTAACCAGTTGCCGCGACCCACACCATGTGTGTCAGAGTAGAACTGTGTTCCAAAGGATTTAAACAAACAAAAAAAAATCTAATGTGAACAAAAAATGTTAGGGCATTTGAAATAGCACTGACATTGGCCCATAGTTTCCCTCTGATTAAATGAAAGTGACACCAGTAGATTAGAATGAGACTAGGACAATTCACACTGCAATTGTGTTAGTTTAACTTTAACAGTCTTTTAACACTCTTGTTTA